AAAAATACAAAAATAGTACCTTATTTTTATTTTAATATGATATTTAAAAATACCAAAATAGTTGATTTTGCATTTTTAGATAAATTTTAGAAGGAACTACCTAATATTTTTCATATAATACATTTAGATTTATTGAGTCTAGATTTGAATTGACTTCAAAGAAATTTAGCCCATTTTTGGATGTTCTTGGGCCCAAATTTGGGCAGTCCACCCCTCACCCTTCATTAACCCAAAACTCTTAAAAAATTCCTAACCTAGACACCCTAAGATCAGGAACAAAATACACTTATAGAGCGACAAAAAATCTGAGACTCCCTTCATCCTCGAGCGTCGTTGCTTCTCCCAGACTCACCTTCCAAAATCAGCCATTAAAACCATCTTCTTCCTCCTAAAACAACCTCGAAATTACCCCTGAAAAACCGTAAGAATCGCGCTCAACCCAGCCCAATAAACACGTCAAAGCTAAGCCAAAAATCCATGAAAACGAGCTCCCAAAAACGCCACCACAGGCTCAATTCGAGTCGACGAGCTGTCCGTTTGCAACTCCAAGAGGTTCTGTTCGAGTTTTCTCCGGCTCGGTCGTGGTCGTTTGGTTGAGTTTAGTTGTCGATTCATCTTAACTATCGTAGTCTAAAAGATTTCACAATGTCAATCGAGAATTCCGAGCTCTCCACGGAGCAGGTAATCTCTCACTTGCGTGCGTTATGAATTTAGAATTTCGCTCTAATGATTAGGCTGTGATTTCCACCATCACCATATTGAGCATGTACTCCCAAAATATCTAGGTTTGTGGTTGTTAGTTGTTTTCTTTTTTCATTCATTGACTTTCTTCTTCTGCAAAGGCTAATAATAGCTTGTATCTTTAAATAAAAGAAACTGGAAAGAAACCTGTGCATTAAATGATTGATTAAGATACATGGATTTTTTTTCAAATTTAATTAGTCGTTGACTTGGTAGTTGCACGTTATTTGACATAGAAAGGTTCTTTATTCTTGGGATTTTTTTTATGTGAAGCTAACCCAAAATGCCAACAAGGCTATAAGCTAGTGCATCTTTTCCATAAATAATTTAATTCATTCCTTCCACAATAAATTCCATAGCCATGACCTCATAACTTATCTCAAATTAGTGTAGGAAAATAACTTGTGAATATTCGTAAGATATTTTTTAGGTGAGCTTTAATCTATCATCGTGATTGTGTACACGTTCGCGTGATACAATTACGATTTTCAAAATAAATCAAGGTACGCGTTCGCACGACTTTTGCCAAGCTTTCTTAAAATAATTAAGTATTGTAAATTGTGTACACATACGGGTGACATGATTCTTGACGCGCCAAACAAAAAGAGTACACGTACGCTTGATTCGTTTCAAGATAATTCCATAATCATGAATAATCAAGTATTAAAAGCGGTAAAAAAGGGTAAAACGCGCATATGTTCTAAAAAAAGTAATTGAATTATTTAATTAAGCCAAGTATAAATTGCTAAGTGACCGTGCTAAAACCATGAAATCCGAGAATGCCTAACACCTTCTCCCGGATTAACAGAATTCCTTACCTAGTTTTTCTGGTTTCGCAAACTTTAAACGAAGTCAAATTTTCCTCGATTTGGTATTTAAAATAAAACTGGTGACTTGGGACACCATAAAATTATTTCAAGTGGTGACTCTGAATTAAATAAATAAACTCATTTCGATTAATGTCACTTTAATTGGAAAAACTCCCTTATATCCCCTTTCAGGTAAAAAGGAGGTGTGACAGCTCTGGCGACTTTGCTGGGGAACAAGAACCCAAAATCTCTAGTTTAGGGTTCAAGAATTCGAGCTTGTTAATGTGATTCTTACTTGGCTTTATTAATTGTTGATATTACTGTATTTTGTGAGCCTAATGTGCTAATTGCCGCTTATTTACTGCTTTGATATTATTTGAACTCTATTAAACTGTCTTCTTACGCCTCCCTTCCGAGTCTTCTAAAAAAATAGTTCACACGTTCGCGTGACCCGCTTTTCTGTTAGAGGTCGTACCAAATAGAATGAGGATGGATCAGCCACTAGGCCGGGTAGACTTTCGTTCTCCCGGTACGTCGCTCCCACCTCGGCTCAAGTTGTCCGCTTGGGTAAGCTAGATCTAGAACACATCCCCATGTTTAAATCTAGAATAACATAGCCTCATGTTGGATCCTTAGTAAGATCGTTTGTTTGCATCACGTGCATTTGATTTTGAGGACTCAAAACAAGGGTTGGGTCCGTTTAGGACATGTGTACCCGAAATGAAAGACCATCCTGATGCATCTTGCGTGCTATTTGTACATTTATTTGCTTCGACTTGTATATTGACCGACTAAGTAAAGAAAAACAACAGAAAAACCAAGTGTGAGGTAGGATAGAGAATTCACCCTGTTCTGAAAACCCAGTATTTGAAAATTCCTCAAAACTCTGCCAAAATTTTTGAAAAAAAGAGGAAAAGAAGATGTATTTCAGAAAAAATAAAATGAAAGTGAGTCAATATCATATTTTTCCAATTTTGTCAAAACTAGCCGAACTACGCGGGTCTGATTCTCACCGGATGTGAGATACGTAGGCAAACCTCATCGGTTCCGACCCACAATTTTCAAAAAATAAAATCCAAAAATATTTTCCTTTACTTCCTTCTTTAGAAAGTCTTTCTTTTAGACCCCAATTTTTAAAAAATTCAAAAATATTTTCTTTTAATTCTTCTCAAAATCCAAAAATATTTTCCTTTACTTCCTTCTTTAGAAAGTCTTTCTTTTAGACCCCAATTTTTAAAAAATTCAAAAATATTTTCTTTTAATTCTTCTCAAAATCCAAAAATATTTTCATTCACCTTTCGAAAATTAAAAAGAAAATTCAAGATTTAAAAATATTTTCTTTTTTCTTTAGAAGTCTTTCTTTCATAAATTCAAAATAAAAGTCCAAAAATAAAAAATATTTCTTTTCTTCTTTAGTAGTGTTTCTTTCGAAATTCAGAAAAAAAAACAAAAAAATGGAAATCGATAAATATTTTCTTTCTTCTTTATATGTCTTTCGTTTGAAAAGTCCAAAATCCAAAAAAAAAAGTGTCACGACCCAGATTTTCCACCCTCGGGAGTCATGATGGCGCCTACTAGTGAAAGCTAGGCAAGCTGACCATTTGCACAAATTACCTTTTTCTCATTTTGTTTCTTTAACAAGTGTGAAGCAACAGTTTATAGACAACGGAAATTAAAACAAACAAAAGAAACTATTAAACTATTTAAATAATCCCAACATAATTTCTTGAACAAAACTACCCAGAACTGGTGTCACGCTTCACAGACAGTCTAGAATTACTACAAACAAGGTCTGAAAAAAATAAATAATACACTATTTTTGAAAGATGTAAATGAAACAGGATGAAGGGATAGAGGGAGACGCCGGGGCCTGTGGATGCCTGCAGGACTACCTCGGAATCTCCGACTTGACTGAAGGCAGCCACCCAAGCTAAGGTCCGAATGCTGCTGCTCCGAGATCTGCACACAGTGCAGAGTGTAGTATCAGCACAATCGATCCCATGTGTTGGTAAGTGCCTAGCCTAACCTCGGCGAAGTAGTGACGAGGCTAAGACCAGACTACCAAATAAACCTGTGCAATTATATCATATACAGTGAAAAATAAAGCAAAAATGTACAGTTAAGAATGGGAGGGGGAAACATGCTGTAGGAGACTATCATTTACCAACAGAAACTTAGGAGAAAAGCATAAAGAACAATTTAAGATTCGCATCCGAAAGAATAAGGAAACCGTAACAAATCAATAACCACTTTTATCCTTTAATGTTGCGGCATGCAACCCGATCCAAATCATATATATATATAAACACTGTTGCGGCGTGCAACCCAACCCAAATATAATCGTGTTGCGGCATGCAACCCGATCCAAATATAGTATTGTTGCGGCGTGCAACCCGATCCCAATATACAATTCAACGCCAATCACAAAAGAGTCCCGACAAGAAAACAATAAGGAAACGACAATATCCCGACAAGGGAATCGACAGTAAGTAGTAAATACATCCCGGCAAGGGAATCAGCTATAACCAAACTTGTTTCAATTTTTAACTTCACAACAGAACCCTCGTCTAGAACCAATATTCAACCATAAGCAATTTTCACGAGATTAATCATAACTCTTGTCCAACACAGAGAATCAACAACTTAAGCATTTGTAGTACTTGTTAAAAACACAACAATGTCAATTTAAGACTCACGGGCATGCTTGACACTAACGTATAGATACTCGTCACCATGCCTATACGTCGTACTCAACAACTAACACATAGAAAACAAGACTCGACTCCTAATCCCTCAAGCTAAGGTTAGACCAAACACTTACCTCAAATTTTCACGGCCAACTCAAGCCTCAAATACCGCTTTTCCTTTAGAATTCGCCTTCAAACAACTCGTATCTAGTCCAAATTGATTTAACAACATCAATAAATGCTAAAGAATTCATACTGAATGCTTAATTATAGGTTTTCTAAACTTTTTCCCCAAAAATCAAAAATTGACCCCGGGCCTACTTGTCAAAACTCGAGGTTCGGACCAAAACCCGATCACCCATTCACCCACGAGCCCAAATATGTAATTAGTTTCGAAATCTGACCCCAAAACGAGGTCTAAATCCCAATTTATCAAAAAGCCCTAACTCTACCCAAAATTCCTAATTTCTACCATAAAAACCCTAGAAGTAAATGGGTTCTGCCCTTTTTTGCTTCTGTTTTAAAATCACAGGGCAGGCCTTCATCGCGTTCGCGATGGGCCTGTCCCGTTCGCGAAGGGTCAGGACAATTAACCTTCGCATTCGCATATAGTGGCTCGCGTTCGTGGAGCTTTGACTCCTCGAGCCTTCGCGCTCGCGGGCCAGTGGCCGCGTTCGCATAGAACAAAATCCCATTCCCCTTGCCCAGGCCCAAAGACCTTCGCGTTCGCGATAGCAGGTCCGCATTCGCGAAGGGTAGCACCCCCCAAAGCTTCGCGTTTGCGACATGTTTCTCACGTTCGCGTAGAAGGAAAATTCCTTCAATCTGACTTACCCTCCGCGTTCATGAGAGTCCTTCTACGAATGCGAAGAACAAAGTTCCAGAACACCAGAAACTGTAAACCTGCAACTTTTTTCTAAGTTTAAAACCTTCCGAAACCTATTCGAAGCTCACCGGAGCCCTCGGGGCTCCAAACCAAACATGCATACAAACTCAAAAATATCATATGGACTTATCCGTGCGATCAAATCACCAAAATAACACATTCAACCACGAATTTAGCATAGAAATCTAAGAAAAACCTCAAAACTTTCAAAGCATCAATTTTTACAACTACGGGTCCGAATCACATCAAACGACTTTCGTTTCTTACCAAATTTCACAGGCTTGACTTAAACCACATATAAGACCTGTACCGGGCTCCAGAAACAAAATACAGGCCCGATACCAACAACTTCCAAACATTTTTCATTTTTAAAAACTCACATATTTTCCAGAAAAAAAATTTCTTTTTAAATTTCTCGGGCTTGGAACCTCGGGATTCGATTCCGGGCAGATGCCCAAGTCCCATATTTTCCTACGGACCCTCTGGGACCATCAAATCACGGGTCCTGGTCCGTTTACCCAAAATGTTGACTGAAGTCAACTTAAATTCATTTTAAAGGCAATTTTATCATTTTCCACAAATTTTCGCATAATGGCTTTCCGGTTACGTGCCCGAACTGAGCACGCAAATTGAAGTGATGCGAGAGAGGTTTTTAAGGCCTCGGAACATAGAATTTATTTCTAAAACAAGTGATGACCTTTTGGGTCATCACAAAAAGAGTTAGTTTATTTACTTTATTCCTAATCTTCCCAAACTACGCAAAGATCTGATTCATGCGGCGTCATGATACGTAGGCAACCCACATCAAGTACGATTGAATGGTTTAAAAAAAAGAACAGAGAAAAGAAAGAAAAGAAAAAAGAAGAAGAAGAAGAGAAGAGTGACCATTCTAACATGTTGTTTGTTTTGAATTGTGAAGAAAGTTTGAGGTGGTCGGTTTGTGGTAAGCTGGCAACACATCCATAATTCACAAGATCCAAGGGAAAAATTCCAATGACAACTGACATCGAAGGTGTTACTAGTGCTCTAGAGACTCAGGGTCAGAGGGTTCTGCAAAAGTCTTCTGTGGTTGAGGAAAATAGGGTACTAAAGCAGCAAATGACTGAAATGTGCCAAGCATGGGCCAGTGGCCAATGACCGCCCTTTTCTTCTCATGGTTTCCTAGAGTTCAAACCCATCTTGACTACTGCCATTCCGGTCTCATTGTCTGATCAATCCTATCCACCTGGGTTCAGTCATTATCCCAACTATACGACTATAGCTGGAACCTCTATTGTGCACTCCCAAAGTTTGCCATTAACAACCAATCAGACAACCACTACTGTTATGCCCGTCTTTACCATCCCACAACCGACGATGGTATAAAAGAAAACTCATGAGTCACAGTTTGCTACCCAGCAAGGATAATCCCACTCTCCTGAGTACCACTCATACCTATTTGATCTTCCTACAAAGATTGAGAAGCCTGCCCAAAAGGGGGAACAGGAAGAAATGACCCAAAGAGTGAAAAGCTTAGAACAATAATTTAAAAACATGTAAGGGTTGGCAGGTCAGAAGAGTATTGCCTTCAAGGATCTATGTATGTTCCCCGATGTCCACTTGCCACTTGGTTTCAAGATCCCCAAATTTGAAAAGTATGATGGACATGGAGATCTCATAGCCCACATGAAAAGGTATTGCAATCAGCTAAGAGGTGCATGAAGAAGTGAAGAATTGCTAATAGCTTATTTTGGGGAAAGCCTTAAGGGAGTAGCCTCCGAATGGTTTATGGATCAAGACATATCTCGCTGGTATGTCTGGGATGACATGGCACAGGCCTTTGTTAAACAGTTCCAATACAACATCGATATCGCCCCGGACCGCAATTTCCTTTCAAGCCTGAAGAAGAAACCAACTGAAAGTTTCAGGGAATATGCCATTAAATAGAGAGAGCAAGCAGCTAGAGTTAAGCCAACCATGGATGACCACGAGCTAATCATTGTCTTTCTTCAGGCTCAAGAGCCAGATTATTTTTAAAACATGATGTCCGCAGTGGGTAAATATAACGACTTGGACGGGCGTTTCATGAGTTACCGCTCTGTTTCCCCTATTTCTGATTCTTATTGTCTTGTTCAGCTATATTATGTATTATCGGGTTGGTTGGCTCGGGTTTGAAGAGGTTTTCGTAAGGTTTGAGACACTTAGCCTCTTTTGAGTAAGCTTAAGTTAAAAAAGCCAACCGTATATTGACTTATGTGAAAAGGATCGGATATAAATTCCGATGGTTAGGATAGCTTCGCGAGGTGATTTGGGACATAGGAGCATGATCGAAATGGGTTTTGGAGGTCCGGAATAGATTTAGGCTTGAATTGGCAAGATTGGAATTTTGGCATTTTTCGGTCGATAGGTGATATTTTGATATAGGGGTCGGAATGGAATTCTGGAAGTTGGAGTAGGTCCGTTGTGTCATTTGTGACGTGTGTGCAAAATTTCAGGTCATTCGGACGAGATTTGATAGACTTTTTGATCGAAAGCGGAATTTGGAAGTTTTTGGAATTCCTAGGCTTGAATCCGATGTCAATTTGGTGTTTTGATGTTGTTTTGAGTGTTCCGGAGGTTGGAACAAGTTTGGATGAGGTTATGGGATATGTTGGCATGTTTGGTTGAGATCTCGGGGGCCTCGGGTGAGTTTTGGATGGTTGAAGGGATCAATTCAAGTTGAAAACGTTGCAGAAAAATCTATTATTGGTGTTGCAGGCATTTGGCCTTCGCGTTCGTGAGTGGGCTCTCGCATTCACGAAGGGTTAGGATAAGAGGCAGGAGGTTTGGACTTCGCATTCGCTATGGGGGTCCCGCATTCGTAAAGGGTTGGCGTCAGTGTGCTTCGCGTTCGCGATGGGTTAAGAAGCTAAAACTTCGCATTCGCGTACAGGGCGTCGCGTTCGCGATGAAGGAATAAGTGGTCAACAAAAGTTTGTGCTTCGCGTACGTGAGGCATTGACTATGTTCGCAAAGAAGAGATTTTAAGTGCTGGGTAGAATGTTTAAAAGACCACTTCCACGATTTTGGGTCTAAATTCCACCATTGTTGAGCGATTTTGGAGCTTCTTGAGGGAGATTGAAGAGGGAATCTAGGGGAAACACTTGGAGATAAGATTTATGGACTTAATACTCGATCCTAATGTGATTTCTACTTAATTAAACATGAAATTTATGGAATCTAAAGCCAAAAATTGGAAGTTAAGGCTTGGAAATTGGAGACCTAAATCTAGGGATTTGAGGGGTCATTTATGGTCAGATTTTGGTATTCTTGATATGTATGAACTCGTGAGATTGCAAGGATTCTAGTTTTGTGATTTTTGTCAGAATTCGAGAAGTGGTCCTGGGGTCGGGTTTGGCCAATTTCGGGATTTTTTATGTAAATTTGTTATTTTCGAGTGGGTTTTGTTCCCTTAGCATATTTTGATGGTATAAATAATTGTTGGATAGATTTGGAGCATCCGGAGGCCGATTCGAGAGGTAAAGGCATCGCGGGATAGAGTTTGGACCGGATAGAGGTAAGTAATGATTGTAGATGATGTCCTGAGCGTATGAAACCCCGGATTTCAAATCGTTGTGCTATTTTGAGGTGGCGCACGCACTAGATGATGAGCGTGGGGTCATGCACCGTTGGGGATTGTGACCTAGTCCATCCCGTATGACTGTAAACCGCGTATTTGATTGAAAACTGTTTGCTATCATTGTGTTTTGAAAAGTATTATCATGTTTTGGGCTGAATGCCATATTTGGGCCTCGTGCCAACTGTTTTGGACCCATATGAGATTTTTACTATGATTTCTCACTATTTTAACTTCATATTTGTACTCAGTCATACTGTATTCTACTGCTTTCATAACTCAGCCATATTTACTCATTTTTGACATTTGAAAATTTATTTTGGGCTGAGCAACATGTTTTACAGTGCCCGAATGGCTTGAGAGATTTTTGACTAAGTGAGGCCGAGGGCCTGTGTTGTGAGGATATTATGGAATCGGGCTGCGCACCACAACATGTTGTTACTAATTCATGATTATGAGGCCGAGGGCCTGATTTGTTACACCACGAGGTGGCTTGTTATGAGGCCGAGGGCCTGATTTGTTACACCACGAGGTGGCTTGTTATGAGGCCGAGGGCCAGTTTTATTATGCCACAAGATGGCTTGATATAGCGCTTGGGTTGTAGGAGCCCTTCCGGAGTCTGCACACCCCCAATGAGCGCGGGTACCCAGTGTGAGATGTGATATTGCCCGAGGGGCTGTTGTTGTTTCATGTTATTGCCCGAGGGGCTGATAGGAGTGATTGTGAGATAGCCCGAGGGACTGGTTCTGTTGGTATTTTGCCCGAGGGGCTAATTTATGATTCTATCCTTTTCTCCATGTTTTCATTACTCGTTTGAACTACTGAAAGATGTTTTAAAGAGATTTTTACTGAACTAAGGTGTTTTTACGAACTTTTACCGTTTTATTGCATTGTTCTGGTTTTATACTATTTTGTTGTAGCATTATGTTGTGTTTTACATGTTTTTTTATCACTCAATTGCCTTTACTTTTATTACTTACTGAGTTGGCGTACTCACATTACTGCCTGCACCTTGTGTGCAGATCCAGGAGTCTCGGGTCATGTTAGCAAGTGCTGATTTGCTTTCCAACAGGCTTGTTCGGAGTTGACTAGGTAGCTGCTCGGCGTTCGCAGCCCAGTGCTTCTCCTTCCTATCTTTATTTTACTTTGTACTAGCCTTGTATTAGACTATGTTGTCTTATCATACTCTTAGACGGATTTTAGATGCTCATGACAGATGACACCCCGATGTCGAGTTGTATTTGTTTTCGTACTGTTATATTCTACTCTATATTTTGAGATTTATAGCTTATTAATGACTTAGAATGAATTGTTATAATTGTTTAGTTGGTTTGGGGGTTTGTATCGGCTGGCCTTATTTCACGATAGGCGTTATCACGACCAGGTCCGATTAGGGTCGTGACAGTACCACCAGCTGGGGCCACTAAAAGTCGAGGATGTGATCGAGGCCGTGGTAGGGGTAGGGGTGTAGCCTGCACAAGAGCTAGGGCAGTACCTGTAGATCCACCAGCCGCCCCAGTTCATGATCAGGTCCCAGTTGTTGACGCTCCAGTAGCACCAACTTAGGCACCAGCTGTGCCCATTGTGATTCCAGGTCTTCAGGAGGCCCTGGCCCAAATTCTATCAGTATGCACTGGCCTAGATCAGGCGGTCTCGGTTACTACAGCCGCAACTACTTTTTAGGCCGGGGAGGCACTCAAACTCTCGCCGCTCGCACACCTGAGCAGGTCGTGCAGTGACTTCAGACGTCGGGAGAACCTCCAGCCTAGCCAGTTGCAGCTGTTTAGGACTATGTAGCTCATGTTATGCCAGAGTACGAGCAACGCAGGTTGGAGAGGTTTGGTAGACTTTAGCCTCCGACTTTCAGTGGTACATAGGGTGAGGTTGCCCAGGGTTTCTTGGACAAATGTCAGAGGATTCTTCGTATAGTGGGTATTCTGGAGACCAACGAGGTCGCATTTACTATTTTTCAGTTTTCTGGAGCTGCCTTCACTTGGTGAGAGGCTTATGAGAGGCATAGGCCTGTTGGTGCAACACCCCTTACCTGGCAGCAGTTCTCTGTTCTCTTTTTGGAGAAGTATGTGCCACAGTCTCGCAGAGAGGAGTTACGCAGGCAGTTCGAGCAGTTGCGTCAGGGAGATATGATTGTGACGCAATATGAGATGAGGTTCTCAGAGTTAGCTCGTCATGCTATTTGGTTGGTTCCTACAGATAGAGAGAGGATCAGGAGGTTCGTTGATGGCCTCACATATCAGCTTCGGTTTCTCATGACCAGGGAGAGGGTGTCAGGTGCTACCTTTGAGGAGGTTGTTGACATTGCTCACGAGATTGAGTCGGTTCATCGCCAGGAGCGAGATGAGAGGGAGGCCAAGAGGCCTTGAGGATCTGGTAGTTATGGTGGTGCTCCTTCGAGGGGTCAGTTTCAGCACGACAGAGGTCGTCCATTCATGCATGCTTAGTCAGCTCACCCAAGTTATCATGGGGTGTCATCGGGTCATGGTTCTCATAGTTCTCATCAGGGCCATTTATCACTTAGTGCCCTTCCAGCCCAGAGTTCGTCCCGTGCTCCATCAGTTCAGGGCTCTTCTATGCCAGGTGCATCTGCTAGTCATTTTGGTGCTAGGGGTTCCCTTCAGTCCCCGTCTCCAGCACCAGGGAGTTTTTATGAGTGTGGAGAGTTGGGTCATATGTGGAGGCAGTGTGCTCATCGTCATGGGGGTTTATCTCAGTAGAGGAGTCAGCCATCGGCTTCAGCGCCAGTTACTTCACCACCACCCACCCAGCCAGCTAAGGGTGGAGGACAATTAGCTAGGGGTCACCCTAGAGGGGGAGGTCGATCAGGTGGTGGTCAGGCCCATTTCTATACACTCCCAACTATACCCGATGCTATTGCTTCAGATGCTGTGATTACAAGTATTGTCTCAGTCTGCCACAACGATTCCTTTGTGTTATTTAATCTCGGTTCCACTTTTTCATATGTGTCATCATATTTTGCTCATTATTTGGATACACCCTGTTACTCTCTTGTTTTATCTGTTCGTGTATCTACTCCGGTGGGCGATACTATTATTGTGGACCGTGTATACCGGTCGTGTGTAGTGACTATTAGGGGTCTGGAGACCCGAGTGGACCTGTTATTGCTTTGTATGGTGGACTTCGATGTGATATTGGGCATGGATTGGCTATCTCCGTATCGTGCTATTTTGGACTATCATGCTAAGATAGTGACGTTGGCTATGCCGGGTGTGCCATGGATTGAGTGGCGAGGTTCGACTGATTTTGTCCCCGGTAGGGTGATTTTGTTCTTGAAGGCCCAACGGATGGTTGGGAAAGGTTGTCTTTTATACTTAGCCTTTGTGAGGGATGTCGGTGCAGAGACTCCTAGTATTGATTTTGTTCCTGGTGTGAGGGATTTTCTCGATGTGTTCCTGCTGACTTGCCGGGCATGCCACCGGACAGGGATATTGATTTTGGTATTGACTTGGTGCCGGGCACTCAACCCATTTCTATTCCATTGTATCGTATGACACTAGCGGAGTTGAAGGAGTTGAATGAGCAGCTTTAGGAACTCCTTGAAAGGGGTATATTCGGCCTAGTGTGTCGCCTTGGGGTGTATCTGTTCTATTTGTGAAGAAGAAGGATGGAACGATGAGGATGTGCATTGATTACAGGCGGTTGAACAAAGTAACAATCAAGAACAAGTATCCCTTGTCTCGTATCAATGATTTGTTTGATCAGCTTTAGGGAGTGTGAGTGTTCTCCAAGATTGATCTCCGTTCAGGGTATCACCAGCTAAAGATCATAGACTCGGATATTCTTAAGACGACTTTCAGGACCCGATATGGTCATTATATGTTCCTAGTGATGTCTTTTGGACTGACCAATGCCCCAGCAACGTTCATACATTTGATGAACAACGTGTTTCAGCCTTATCTTGACTCGTTTGTAATAGTTTTCATTGATTATATTTTGGTGTATTCGCGTAGTCAAGAGAAGCACGTGGAGCATTTGAGAGTTGTGTTGCAGAGATTGAGGGAGGAGAAGCTTTATGCAAAGTTCTCCAAGTGTGAGTTTTGGCTCAGTTCAGTGGCATTCTTGGGGCACGTGGTGTCCAGTGAGGGTATATAGGTTGATCCGAAGAAGATAGAGGCGATTCAGAGTTGGCCCAGACCATCCTCAGCCACAGAGATTCGCAACTTTCTTTGTTTGGCGGGTTATTACTGTCGGTTTGTTCAGGGATTTTCATCTATCGCATCACCCTTCACCAAGTTGACTCAAAAGGGTGTTCCTTTCATGTGGTCGGATGAGTGTGAGGAGAGCTTTCAGAAGCTCAAGACTACCTTGACCACAACTCCAGTGTTAGTTTTGCCATCAGCTTTAGGTTCATATACTGTGTATTGTGATGCTTTGAGAGTTGGTATTAGGTGTGTGTTGATGCGGGAGGGTAGATTTATTGTTTATGCTTCTCGTCAGTTGAAGCCCCATGAGAAGAACTACCCTGTCCATGATTTGGAGTTGGCTACCATTGTTCACGAGTTGAAGATTTGGAGGCATTATTTGTATGGTGTATCTTGTGAGGTGTTTACTGATCATCGTAGCCTTCAGTATTTGTTCAAGCATAAGGATCTCAATTTGAGGCAGCAGAGATGCTTGGAGCTGCTAAAGGACTATGATATCACTATTTTGTACCATTCAGGGAAGGCCAATGTGGTGGTCGATGCTTTGAGTAGGAAGGCGGTGAGTATGGGGAGTTTGGCGTATATTCCTGTTGGGGAGAGACCTCTTGTCGTTGATGTTCAGGCCTTGGCAATCGGTTCGTGAGGTTAGATATTTCAGAGCCCAGTCGGATATTGGCTTGTGTGATTTCTTGGTCTTCCTTAATTGATCGCATCAGAGAGAGCCAGTATGATGATCCTCATTTGCTTGTCCTTAAGGACAAAGTTCAGCACGACGATGCCAGAGATGTGACCATTGGTGATGATGGGGTATTGGGGATGCATGTCCGGATATACGTGCCCAATGTAGATGGGCTTCGGGAGTTGATTCTGGAGGATACCCATAGCTCGCGATATTCCATTCATCCGGGTGCCACGAAGATGTATTAGTATCTAAGACAACGTTATTGGTGGAGGAGAATGAAGAAGGACATTGTGGGATTTGTAGCTCGATGTCTCAATTATCAGCAGGTGAAGTATGAGCATCAAAGACCAGGTGGCTTGCTTCAATAGATGGATATTCCAGAGTGGAAGTGGGAGCAGATCACCATGGACTTAGTAGTTGGGATCCCACGGACTTTGAAGAAGTTTGATGCAATTTGGGTGATTGTGGATCGGTTGACCAAGTGTGCGCACTTCATTCCTGTGTGTACTACCTATTCTTCAGAACAATTGGCAGAGATATATATCCAGGAGATTGTTCGTTTGCATGGTGTCCCAGTTTCCATCATTTCAAATAGAGATACTCAGTTTACTTCACAGTTTTGGAGGTCAGTGCAGCGAGAGTTGGGTACTCAGGTTGAGTTGAGCACAACTTTTCACCCTCAGACGGACGGGCAGTTCGAGCACACTATTCAGATATTGGAGGACATGTTGCGCACTTGTGCCATTGATTTTGGAGGGCCATGGGATCAGTTTCTACCGCTCGCAGAGTTTGCTTATAACAGCAATTACCAGTCGAGTATTTAGATGGCTCCATATGATGCTTTATATGGGAGGCTGTGTAGATTTCTGGTCAGTTGGTTTGAGCCGGGTGAGGCTAGGCTATTAGGTACAAACTTGGTGTAGGATGCTTTAGACAAAGTGAAGGTGATTCAGGAAAGGCTTCGTACAACGCAGTTGAGACAAAAGAGCTATGCTAACAGGAATGTCCGGGATGTGTCCTACATGGTTGGTGAGAAAGTTCTATTGAAGGTTTCACCCAAGAAGGGTGTTATGAGATTTGGGAAAAAGGGTAAATTGAGTCCTCGATTCATTGGGCCTTTTGAGGTGCTTCGAAAGATTGGGGAGGTGTCTTATGAGCTTGCCTTGCCACCCAGTTTATCGAGTGTGCATCCGGTATTTCATGCTTCTATGCTTCGGAAGTATATTGGCGATCCGTCTCATGTTTTGGATTTCAGCGCAGTTCAGTTAGATGATGATTTGACTTATGATATGGAGCCAGTAGCTATTTTGGAGCGTCAGGTTCGAAAGTTGAGGTCAAAGATATAACTTTAGTGAAAGTTCAGTGGAGAGGTCGGCCCGTGGAGGAGGCTACCTGGGAGACCGAGCAGGAGATGCGGAGTAT